ATAGCGGTGATGAAATGAGCAGGTATTTTATCATCCCGAACATTCTTGGAAATGCACCACGCATCAAAGCATTCCAAATAATCAGCAATCTCCCGCGGAGAACCATTAAGAGGAAATTTTCCCAGGTTACTTAGCTCCATCGCGACGCCAATTTGTAGTAATTTATTGTACTTGGAAATATTAATATACCGGGATGACGGAATTATAGGAATCTAATCAAAACCCAGAGAGGGCAGCAATCAGTAATTTGTATTTAGCGGAATTAGAATGCAATTCATATAAGAAACATATCAACAGTCAACAGTAAGTATTTAAACAATACAGAGATAGAAATTGTCAATCACCACACTCAGACTGTTTCATAGCAGCATATTTTACTAATCCACATCACCTGAATAAACACTCAAAGATTAGAAGCAGCAGACATTTGCTTTTAATGCACTGGACGACTTCGAACAACTTGTATTCTTGATATGAATCCACGAATGCCGAGATTTTACGTACCATATGCCAGTATCTAAGTGAGATGTTCGTAACTATGAGGAAGTACATATGCCAGTAGTCCTTCAATTTCTAACGGATATCTGTCTTGACAAGGTCTAAATTCTAAAGCTACAGAAATTCGATTTTTGAGACGAAATTTGACTGAAATTATGACTATTAAACTAGACGTGTATGTTAAAGTTGTATCAAGATAATGAAAACACATTTATTAATGTGTTCGCATTACCTGAATTAAACAAATTTAAACCAATTCAAAGTGTTTCCTTTCAGGGCTTAGCAACAGTAGCTAATAACTAGACAAATGTAATTATGCACACTAATAAAATAGATGGAGTTTTTGACATTAAAAAAAGTGTCTTGTTTTTAGTCAAGATCACAACCATTAATGCTAAATGAATGACTTTTATTTGTGTGTTAGAAAAAAAACGCAATTCCAACAAGACTATTAAGTTTCCTGTAAGACATAATTAGAAAAAATTTTACTATTTCTTTCAGTTGCATTCTTCACTTGCATTAATCAACACTTAAATCTGTAGTATTTGACTTCCGGCTACAATTCGACCCTGTGGTTTATTCAGATTTACTCTATTTTTTCATTCAATAGTTTTAAAAACTACCTGGAAGGATGAAATAGGGTATGCTAATACTTCTTTCAGAATGTATGTCAAAGATCATAGTAAAAATTCGTTTATTTCAGCTGTTATGTACAACCTTTCCACAAAGTTCATTAAATTTTTTCCTTCACGTTCCCAGTAGAACATAGGGCCTCAAGCAAGTGACTTGAAGTTTCTGTAGAAGTGTTTAATAATACAGGATAGCCTCATACCCAACCTTTCCTCTTTACCAGCATTATTTCTCGCTTAGAAAGGTGAAGGAGTGCGTCGGCCGAGGCATGGTCACCAATGCACTTCATGATTTTGAATGAAGTGTAAATATGTTCAGCACCCGTTGATATATGAGTTGGTCACCAGATTCTTACTTTGTAGTACATTAGTTCATTTCCTTTTTCTGAAAGTATGCTACACTGTTTTTAGTCTAACATTTTTGAATTTAAGTAAGAGATGGTTAACTGTAAAATGGATTTTGCTCGTGCCACAGCTTCTTGTTTCATTCCTTGTTTTGAGAATGGAATGTATGGCTTTAAAGTTTCTGTTGAGGTGATGTTATTTTGAAAAGGTTTGGCTGCTAGCCTCACGTCAAATTTTCCTTTTATTCTAGAAATACTACCGGTTGCTCAGTTAGGCAAGGCTTATGAGTACATCGGTCCGGAATGTATCTTGGACTAAGTGCGTGCCTGGTGAATGATGTGCTACTGTGTCATCGATGCGTGTCCAGCTGAACACGAATTTACATCCGTTAATTGTAGACCAAAACTCCATTTGAAGGATTCAATTCATGCTATTCACTAAGCGAAATTGGAAACTTTTATTATGCCGATTTTTCAAACATCCCTTGTGAGGTTCATCTAAGTAAACGATATATTTACATTTCATTTCATTACATTTTGATTGAATAGAGTAACTAAGTAAATTAGAAAAGGAAACACGTTTCTAAAGTCATATACTATGGTTTAAATAAGGAAGCATAATTTCTTTAGTAAATCAGGTAAAATACATGATAAAAACTTAAAGTAGGCCTTATGACTAAATAATTCTATTGCATATTGGTAGCATGTTTGGTTTCATATTGTATCTGTCATTTTAAATAATATTCACAGTAGACTGACCTCCTGTGAAAAAAAATTGAAGAGAAAGATGAATAACCCACAACTTTCATTGGAATTACTTGGTAGAAGGAATTATAGTGTTATCTGAAATTGTTATATTCGTGAAAATGATATGTTAAATACAACTTTTCAGTTAGAGGATTAAAGATGAAGTTTTCCCAATAAAAATAGCTAGTCAAAGTTACAGATAACCAACGTTTTGATTGAATGTCATTACTTATTATGATCAACATGAATATATGTTGCTTTCTTCATCTTATAACTATGTGTCCAGTGCTCATGAACCATTAACTGTCCAAAAATCAGCTTTCACTTTTACTGTTCCAATATTATTATTACTTTATCCTTTACGTTCTAAGTAGAAAATAGGGCTTCAAGTTAGAGCTCCGAAGTTTCGGTAGCAGTGATGTTCATTTATTTTAAGGGATGGGGTTGCTAGCCTCATGCCTAACCTTCCGTATTCACCAGTCTTATCATCGACAAAGCGAGGTTAAGGAGTGCGTCGGCTAGGGATCGAACCTCGGACCAAATGCGTGTTCGGCGAGCATTCTACCGCTGTACCATCGAAGCACTTGATTATTATTTTTTTATTATTATTTGATTATTATTATTAGTCACTATATTTTAAAGAATGTCTGTTGATCTGTTTACTGATCAGTGTAAAAGTTTTACTGAACCATATTGACTTACTTCTAAGTCTTCTAGAGATTACTGCAGCATAGATTAAATTCTGACGTCAGTCAGTGGATGCATTTTCTCTCTCAATTTATACTGACATTAGTTATTGTAGAACAAAACCTTAGCAAATAAATATTGATTGTTATAGTATGACAGAGTGCTAGAAGTTACTGCATGCATTCATTCCCCTTTATAAATTTGAATAAAGTAAGAAAACGGTCTGCACACAAAATGAAGTGGTACCATCATTCATTTCCTTGGCTTCTCATCATCTGCTAACAGCCTAAGGAAATTTTTAAGTTTACGTACAGAAAAGTCTTAACATACTTGCAAATTTTGCTTTGTTTTAGTTGACAGGAGGTTCTAAACTTAGTGAACAGTGCTCATTAAATTACGGTTATTTAGTTTTTACACAGGCAGTTCATTTCTAAACAAAGTAAACATGCGTACAATGGCAAAGGAGTTACATAATAAAGAGGGAGATGCGTAAGATGATGAGTAACTCATAAATTAGGTAACAATGTACTGAGTTCAACTCAAATCATAGAAACAAGAGACAACCGAATTATACTATATCAAAAGGGGATTGGGTTACAGCCAAAGATTGCGCAATCAAATGAAAGAAAGAATAAAGACACCCACTTACCACGGCAAGGAAAGACTAATAACGGCTTCTTTCTGAACAATATAAATCGGGTTTCAGGCGTTTGGTAGATATCGCTTTAGCAAACTTGAGGAGAATTGAACTTTTCTGTCGATTGACAAAAGATTTTGCGATTTTCACCTCATGACAGTATCAAGGAGCTGCCTAGTAATGGCACCATTGTAATCGTTTGTTTTCTTGAAACGTAGGCTTTACGGTACATGTTCAGGAAATCGCAGGTGTGCTCTTCTTTCTGTTGTCTCAGTGTAGACATGAGTTAATTTCCTTCATTTTTAGTATACACAATTTGTTTTCAAGATGTTCTGTAATCTAATGAGAAATGTATTCTGCCTTAAAATTGATGGTCACGGTGTTAATCCAACAGTGATGATAATTTCTAATTTTTCCTCTATGCAAAATATAAGATGATTTCACTCCAATATTAATTACGGGTAACGTAATAACAGTGCATCTCTTTGACATTACTAGTTACAGCTTTTCATCAGACTTCTAGGCATTCTTTTCGAAGTGAATGAGTTTAAAAGACAATCTGATTACTTTTTGAATATTATTTGCAGGCATTTGTTTATGAAACTAGGTCACAAAGTGATATCATTTAGATAGCTCCTGAAAGTCATTAGTCACTTGACAGCTGTCTCATGCCACCTTGGAATTCTTTAGCGTTACGCACTCGTGAATCCTTATGGGATTAAATCCAAGGCTGTAAAGTCACCAGGCAAGTCCGTTGACTTGTCATCCACTAGAATGACGTTAAATAGTCTATAAATTTTCACTTCTTCCATTTTGCAATACAAAGGTTCAAAGCTAGGTAATGCCATTGACGGGTATCTATTTCCACACCCAACTTGGTAGACCCTATTGGTCAAAACTTTCCTAGCTGAAATCAATCCCTGACCTAACCTTAATCATTTATCTATACCAATAGGTGTTTACTGGTCGAGATCTGTGTGTACTATTTACCACTGTATGCACAATGACATGAAACTTGCTAATATACAGTTATCCCATCGGAAACCCTATGAGGAATAAAATGTGGTAAGATAAAATGTTACTGACCTCTACTCAGGATTCTTATTCTCTTTGGAATAATCTGACAACTGACAGTGTTTGTAAGATTCTGCATAAAAAGGGATCTTTCAAATGAAGTGGTAAGCGTTTCAGTATCCTGCAAGCTCACTAAATTTCCATCTTTATGTGAGAAGGCTAGATAAGACAGTTTTTCTGGAACACTTTGCCTCTGTATTAAATTAATATGCTATGATCAGGCAGTGATTGAGTTAAAGTGGTTTTTCGAGATATGTAAAGAAGCAACAGTGCCATTAATTCAAATTATTAGCTCTTTTGTTTTAAAAATTCTTTGCATGTAATCATATTTTCCAATTTAAAACACAGACAATTCAACTTTTTGTGCCTTTTATTCTCCTTTAGGTGTGGGCAACACTTTCAAATCTGTCAAAGTGAAGGATATAAACAATTTAGGGTGATACTTTTATATTACACAACTTATATTGGATTTGGATTAGGCAACATACTTGAAGCTTCATCTGTATGGATAACTGTACTGATTTCAGCTGAACGCTATATCATAATGAAATGGCAACATTTGGGGAAGTTATTTTTCACGCGTAGACAAGGTAAATGGCAAATACTTTTCACAGTCTGTCTAGCAGTAATCTTCAACTCTCCTTTCTTTTTCACACTAACAATAAATTATTCGGTTAAACCAGGACCAAATAATACAACAAAACGCTTTCATTACGGTAAGCTTACATGGTTTGGTGAATCACAATATTATCTCATATTCACATGGTTACGGTTTATCTTTGTTCAATGCATTCCACTGATAACCTTATGCATAGCAAATGTTATGCTGTTACGTTTAACCTGGTCAAGTTATCATAATCAAATGAGACATCAACTTAGACAACAGAGTTATATGAAACATTCTTCCCAGACAGTACTTGCAGCTATAAAACCTCAAGTGGTCAATACTGATGGATCTGTTAAACAATCAAAAGTAGTTTCACAAGTTATGCCTGATCCACAAACATTACTTTCAGTAGATGATGAAAAAGAAGGCTGTAATACTCAAGAGGAACTGGAGAAATTTGATAACCGCCTGCAGACAAATAACAATAATACTGAAGACAATTGTTATAACAAGCAAAAAGATATTACTGATAATAATAATAATAATAGCAATTCTGTAGCAATAAAGCGTACCTCATTGGCAAGTCGACGACTGGAACGTTCACAACAAGCCAATAACAAGTTGTCAATTTTATTAATGACTGTGATATTTCTATTTATAATTGGTCAAATTCCTCAAGCTCTAGCCTACGTTCATATCTTAAATTTAATTGTACCAAGATCATGCGTGAATTGTAGGACATTCTCATCGTTGTATAAACACTTTAGCCAATTGTTATGCCTAATTACATCAACCACCAATTTTTTTCTCTATGTGACTTTAAACAGAAATTTCCGTGAATGTTTAAAAGGACTGTGTCGGACAAGATGCAAGTCATAACTTTTACATATATGAAGATAAATTATGAAAAAAATATTTGTTGAACAACTGCTTACTTCTGTTACACTTCATTGATGCAATTAAGTGTATTGGAGGATTAACATCATACCTGTTTCTATTCAGTAATATTCTTTCTTTTTGTTTATAAAGAGAACACATACTGTATCATGGCATTTCATCTGATAAAGATTTTATTTCTTATGAATTATTTGTAGTGTTTGTTTAAAAATAAACCGCGTATTACCGATTATTAAATTATATTGACCATTTAACCCTCTACATCATTGTTGCTCATGGATTCAATAAGCACCGCTATTTATGATTGTTTAACTGTTTTCTACTTCTGTATGTACAAATTTTGTTTGTCTCATGTGAGTTACTTAAATGTTGAGGACATATTAGGTTGCAGAAAGTCATTTGAAGTATTCGATATAACTAAAATAAATAAGAAAAGCTATCCGACATTGTATATTTAGTTTCTTGTCAATTGTGCTGTTAAAATGTCTAGGAATAGCACTTTTTAAAAAGCAGTTGATCTTTGAATTGTAGAGTTGTAGGTGGATTTTATCATCAACTGATATCATTTCGTCAACCGTCAGAAACCAGTGAGTAATGAGTAGCTACTTCATCCCACTTAGACAAGCATCACCAGTTTTCTCCGACGATGTTAATAGGCATTGCACCCAAGACTCTTGTTTTACGAAAAGAGATCGTTCGCCATTCAGCCAATGGTCTGAAATTCAATGACCTGTCAGTTTTCATCATAGCAACACAACCACATAGTGTGATGAGTGAGTAATTGTCATTACATTCTTTTTAATGAATCTTATCGATTGCTGTTTCCAATTAAAACTTCAGAATGTCCATTCAAAAGTCAATGTTTGATGAAGAGTGAATTCAAGTTCAATTGTTGACTAATTTGAAAATAAATATCCTAGTGAATCGATGTAGTGGCATTTGTAGACTTCATATTTTTCCAGTGCTGCATAGTTTTCAGTGGTATTCTCATTGATTTCGGTTCGCTACTACCTTAAAAGTCGAATTACTCAGTTGCATTAAATACTAGTTTTAACAGGATGACAATCTGTTGTTACAGCACAGTATGATATTTTCATTTTATTCTATAATGAAGTCTTATACGGTTATACAGCTTGTAAGTCTTCTCTACATGACGTTTCAGGTGTGAAATTATATCTTTTTTTATTCAATACTAACTAGGTTGACTCGAGAAAAGTAATTATTTTTCCACATTACCAGGAAACACTGGGATCAAAATCATTTCAGGAATAATCTATCTTTTTTTCCTTACCTCACTGTCTTTCTGTTTACGACGTTTTGTATTAAGACACAGACCACAGCATAAATTCAAGTCATTCTTATTTCTCTGAAAGCAAACACATTGTGAGATTACATTACATATAGGACTAGAAACTGAGCGTTGGTCAAGTCAGTAACAGTGGTAATGAAGTGTAGAAATAAGATCGGATGGGGAAGGGGGGAGAGAACAGGGAGTTGAAAATTTAAGATATTACAGTTGTAAAGACAAAATAATACTAATGAAGCGACAGAATGAAATAGAATATTAAGACAGATTACGTCTATAGTAAGTGTAGTGATTAAACGAACTTCTTCTGTGTGAAGAGTTCATGGCTTAGCAAGTGAATTCCTATTGCTTCGGCAGTTTGAAGAAGTCTGACTTGTATACTTTTAGGAAGGCTGCTTCGTATTCTGTAGATGACTTTGAAGTTTGTTTGAAGTGCAGCTTGGTGTAGGGAATTTATCCGATGTTCTAAGATAGAGCTGCGGGAAATCGTTTTTCTCCTTTGTAAAACCATGCTAGTAAATGTTCGGTGATACGTTTAGATAACGAACGCTGAGTACGGCCAATATACCTGGCTTCACACGAGCAGGTGAACTGGTAGATACAAACTGACGTTAAGCGTGGATAGCTTTTGAGGTCTAGGAATCATGGATTTTCAATAAATCGTTCTAAATAACCATTCTTCATTAGTATTATTTTGTCTTTACAATTGTAACATTTTACATTTTCAACTTCCTGTTCTCTACCCCCACCTGATTTAATTTCTACACATTGTGAGATTTTTAATATGTTTGACAAATATTTTACCATCAAATGAATAGAAATCCGAACTGGAATAGGGAATTAAATCGCAGAATTCACTGGATTTAGAACCTGTGATAACAAATGCACCCATTAATTATTCACTATATATTTAAACTAATAATATCCGTATGTCATCACTGACTGATGCATTTCACTTATCAAGTTTCGTATGTTTAAATGCTTTTTAAAGATTATGGTTTCTTTGCTAGATTCATTTAACTAACCAGAAGTACGTGATAACTCAGTGTCTGCTTATTGGCAGAGATAAATTTCAGAGACCCATTTTGTTAAAGAGATAAAGATAAAGAGAGTTCAGTATGTCCAGTATACATCGAAGACGAACATTAGTTAACCAAAGTTCAACTTTAAAAGGTACCCCAGAATCAAGGAGAATATTCCCAACGAGGTATGATCGCGAGCTGTGTTCACAAAAGTCACACACTAAAGCTTCCCGGGTCAGAATGACCTCCAAAACAAACTCATATAGTGAAACAACACATTGTCAATGCACACATGAGCACAAAGAAATATAATAAAGATCGAAAATCAACATGTGTTATGCCAATGTTAAATTAATGATACACAGTCAGGGGGGAAATACGTAAACGAACTACAAAGTTAGTTGAATTGTCGTAACAAGTATAAACATTACAGATATGATAGCAAAGATTTGTAGCTCAGGTGGATGATTTTGATGTAGTTGAGTTCTCTGAGCTGAATAGTTAATTTTCGAAGCTTTCATCGACCTACTAGGCGACATCTTCAACCCACACTTCAATCTGAAGTGAGCTTTTAGACTTCCTCACGAGTTTATTAATCATCTCTCCTGGTCAATGACCTTGGACGTGATTGGTTGTTTTTGTGTGTTTTCACACCTTCTAGGTTACTTGTATTGGAAGTGATTGTTTCCTTGACTTGAACTTTGACCCTTTGTGTGTGAAGTTTCTTTCTTATCGGCTGATACATTTAGTCAATTTCGATGTGTCTTTTGATTGATGATTCACTGGAATACCAGGTGGGCTTCTAAAAATTCTCTAGCATTCTTGTTGTTTCCTCTGTCTAATGTTTGAACGTTGTTCCAGTCGAATTGATGTCCATAGTTTTCTGTATGTAGTGATATGAGGGAGTCGATATCATGTCTTTTGACGGCTAGCTTATATTTGTGGATACGAAGACGAAGGGGACGTCCAATTTGGGCAATGTAGTGTTTTTCGTAGTTGTTACAATTTATCTTGTAGATGATGTTGGTTTTATCTTCTTTCGCTGTTGAGGCTTTTGGTTGACATAGAATTGAGTGAAGTGACTTTGTTGGTTTGTGTACGACGTTAATTCCTAAAGGTTTGAAGAGTCTCGAAGTTATTTCTGAGATTTCCTTTATATGTGGTAGTGCGATTTTCTTTATACTTTCCTTGGGGATTTTCGGTTCGATAGGTTGTCTTGGGGGTATATGTCTTTTGATGAAGTTCCGTGGATATTCATTTTTTAGAAGACGTGCATGAGATGTCTTTTTATAAACATTATAAATAGATTGTTTGGGTTGGAATTTTCGAACAATTTGTCCATTACATGACTTGTAGTATTTTTCTTAATACATAAACATGAATGTTACTTTGGGAATAAATTTGCAATTCAAACTGTTTGAATGTATGTCGCACAACACTTTCACCTTATTCAGACTACAAAATATTTTAACTAAGTTATGAATTTCAATTTCTCTGCATCCTTTTTTTTTCACCTTCGTCCCAGTTAACGCGAATTATGTGTATGTATGTGAACGTGTGTCTAGGTGTGTGATAAAACCGTCTTTAGTACTTTTATATATACTTTACGATGGAGACATAAACTATTTATAGTCCTTCTAGGCGTTATTGTACTCTAATTAGGTTAGAATAAAATTCTGTTTGAAATAAAATTCATCAGTGTCTTCAAATCACTTTCTTAATCAGCCTCTATCTAGTTGTCTTTTACAAAACTTTGTATCATGAATCATAGACTACGCCTAATTAAATTTGGAAAAGGTAGTAGCCCAGAAAAGGAAACATTATTAATTTTCAAATGATATTAGAAATATTAAATTCAATTTTAGATTTTCCCTTCGATTGATTGAACCGAAGTGCTTGGTCACAGGTTGAAATGTCAGCTCCTCGTTCAGATGCTTTAAAGATGTTCAGTGACGAGTCCCAAATAAGACGAAATGCGCATGCTGGATTCCACTGCCTGTCACCATCTATCAATTAACTTCTGATATCAGAAGTAATCTATGAATTTTTCAAAAGAATGGTTGTTGGATAAAGAATATTCTTTTCGATAACTTCATCATCGTGTTCTGCAGTTATATTTACATAATAGTCAATGAATTAGTGTTAATAACAACATCAGTGTTTTTTAAATAACATCGAATCAATAATAATAGCAATAGACTACAGTTCGATAGCATCAACATAACAATGAATTGAATATCAGAAGAATTGGGAAAAATAATGATACAACTTCATGAATTTCTAGTCTCCACTGAAGGTTAAGGCAGTAGTAGTGTCTGGACCTGCTTCTTCTACACATACAGCAATGGTTGTTTCACGAGAATTACGATAGCTCCTGCTGTTTGGAGCATGAGGTAGCTGAATGTTTTTGGCAATTTATTTGCTACCCTGTAGATGCTGGGTTTGTGGCTGGTTTGAACCAAGTGGTCTAATATCGAGCTGTTGATGGCTTTTCTACACCCTTATTAAGCTACACAGGTAGTTGTTTCTGAGCACGAAAAGTCAAGCCCCTAGAGCAACAACGGCCAACATTACTCACTCCATCGCAAGCACAGTTGAATTGTTAGATACAAATGGGAGCGTCTATTCTAGGTACTCCGTCATTCATTTGGAGAATTACCATTGGTCATTTAGAAAATAAATCTTGTATTTTGTCGGCCTCAAAAGTTCTTTTAACTGAATTTCTTAACTTCTTCGTTACTGTTTTGCTAGGTATATCATCCTCGAATTGTAGCCATATGTATACAGGCTTCTTGCTTACGGATAGTAAGCAGTCTTTTTCCGCTTTCTTTGTCATGTGTTGCTTGGTAAATTTGTCAGGATAGCTATTTTCGATCAAGATATCGTATACGATGCTTAATTCATCTTCAACTACGTCCTCTGAGCATATAGCTGTGACCATGTGGCTGAGGGTCCTTACTAAATTTCTTTTGTACTGGAGAGGAACGAAGCTATGAAAGTGTGTATATTGTCCTCTCCATGAGCTTTTTCTATGCAAATTTATCTTTATACTACCACCTAATTTTCTTGTTAGGAGAACATATATGAAGACAGTTAATTCTATTTTGGGATTCCTCTTCGCATATGAATTTTTTAGCAGAATAAACTTCATTGAATTTATTTATTAATGTGTTCTAATCCGAACCATTATCACAAAGAATATTGGTGCCACCCATGTACTGGCAATAAAATGAGAATTTTCTGATAAGCATGTACAAAGATCTTTCTTCTAGTTTACTTTAAAAGAAATATCCACCTCGTCAACTTGTCTGTAAAATGTGCCATCAAATTTGAAATTTAAATTCATGGATCATCTTAATAACATTTTTTTACGATTTCCACTGAAATGTTAATATGTATCGACTGGTTATGCACTTGTTTACACATGTAGTCAACTGTTTCTACTAGAGGTATATTTGTTAATAAAGATGTATATAAAGATATCATAGTTTTGTCCTTGATATTAATATCTTTGATTTTAACTGAATTTTAAATTTCCCCGTCGATTGATTGAACCGAAGTGCTCGATCTCAGGTTGACATGTCGGCTCCTTGTGCACATGCTTCGACGAGAAAATCTAAAATTCAATTAAATTAATATGACCCGTTGCAAAAGAGGTGGTTCTCGCGGCCCAAGTGGTCTAGTGTATAGTGCTTTGGCATTGAGAAATGTGGGCACTGGGTTCCAGCCTCAGTGTGAACATCATCACTCACTGAAAAGTATTGGTACATCCAGATGACGAGTCCCAAGTAGGACGAAACGCGCATCTTGGATTCCACTGCTAGTTGATTTCCACCAGTTTAATATCTTTGATTTTGTCTACGAATTCAGATACATCTTTCATGCTATGTTTCACTATCTGCCCATGCAAAGGTTTGTGAATATTTACTAACCATCTAGCTAAAGAATGATAGGGTGAATTTCGCATATCAGATATTGATCTTAACGGTACCTCCAGTTTATGTACTTTAGATAGGCCAAACAATCATGGCCTGTACGCGCGCTTTGGCCTGATTTCTTCATATAAACTTTCAGGATCCTGATGATGAAATTATCGAAAAGAATATTCTTTTGAAAAATTGTAATGGGCATTTCTAATCAGT